GGAGCCGCTGGTCTCCCCCTGGACAGTAAGGGCTGTGGAGTTCCTCGGTTACCTGCACGGCAAGGAGGTGTCTGGCCTGGTGCGGGAAGTGATGATGCCGCAGCTCCTCGTAGTGCTTGAGCTGCCCCAGCTTGTGGCCCAGATGCACCATCTGGGCCTGGCCAAGCAGGTCACCCCCAGTTGGTTCTGCCTGATGCTCAAGCGCTGCCTGGCTCACGCCCACTTGCAGAACCAGCCCAAGCTGCAGCCTCCAGGTCATCCACTCGTGACTTCTGCAGTGCCGCAGCAACTCCATATCTTCCCTTTGTATCAACCTGTGTCACCTGCCTTGGACTACTTCTACCCGCAGCTTCAGCTGGGAGTGACAGAGCCTGTGCTAGTCACCCAAATCTCTGACCCACACCATGTATATTGCCAACTGCAGAGCCTGTCCCAGGAGATCCATCGCCTTTCTGATACCCTGTACCAGCTTTATGATGGGGCCACTTGGGAGCAGGATTTTCTACCCAAACTGGGTTCACCCTGTGCTGCTCGTGGCATTGGTGGCCAGTGGTACCGAGCGCTCCTGCTGGAGGTTGTTGCTGGGGGGCAGGACCAACAAGTGGCCCAGGTGATTTTTGTGGACTATGGCAGGGAAGAGTTTGTCCCAGCCACTGACTTGCGCCGTTTGCCCGCTGAATGTTTTCGCATGCCAGTGGTGACTTACCCGTGTGCCCTTCAAGGTATCTCCCATGGGGGTCATTGCTGGTCCCCATCCCAGATCAACGAGCTGAAAGTGTTGTTGTTAGGCAAGGGAGTGAATGCTCACATTGAAGCTTTTAACTCCTTTGAACATCTCTATTATGTGAGCCTGTATGGTGAAGATGGCATGAACCTGAACTGTCTCTTTGGAGTGCAGGCTCGCTGCATGGCTAGCAGCCTTATGCAGGTTAGGCAAACTAAAGCTCAGGTGCGGCTGGAAGTAGAAGAACACACAGCTGAAGAGCAGGGATCACCACCGGGAGCACCTCCTGTTGCTTTAATGCAAAGACATTTGGCCTCTGCTCCTGTAGTTGGTGTACGTCTGAAGTGGGGCGCGTTCTATGATGCGCAGATCTCCCATCTCCGAGATCCGTCTGAGTTCTGGCTGCAGCTCCAGGAGCATCACCAGCTCCTCAGCCAGCTTATGCAGAGTATGTGGAATTTTTACTCCCAAACCACGAACCTGGTTGATGATACAGAGCACCTGCAGCCTGGATCCCTTTGTGCCAGCAGGAAAGACAATGCCTTTCATCGAGCCGTAATCACCAGGATACTGGACAGTGCTGTAGAAATATATCTGATGGACAGAGGTGCTGTGGAAACTGTAGACTGGTGTGAGGTAAAAGAGCTGCTCCCTCAGTTCCAGGAACCACCTGCGTTAGCTCTGAAGTGTTGTTTGGCAGGTACCTCCCCAGTGAGGGGAAGCTGGAGCGAAGAGTCTGTGTCTGCCTTTAGAAAGATTGTGCTGAACAAGGAATTGAGGATTCGTGTTTTGGGCACACAGGGGGACAAATACGTGGTTGAAATTCTTGACCAATCTCAATTAGGAGAGAAAAGTGTAAGTAAAATCATGACCAAGGGAGGATATGCTAAATACGAGAGCTCTGAAATAGGTGAGACGCTACAAAAATCACCTGATCAGGCTGCAAGGCATGGTTCACCTGCAGGATGTGCTGGGGAGGAAAACCAAATAAATATAGCGGAGAGACTTGGAGGAGAATCTGATCCAAAAAGAAATGATAGAGCATTAAATCCTTGTATGACTCAGACGGTCAAAGATGGTCCTGTTGCCGTTCACAGTTCAAAAATGAGTAAATCTGTGCCTGCTGAGAAAAAGTGGGAGGGTACGCAAAACTTGCCCTCTTCTCTTGCACAGAATTATCTGGAAATGACACCAGGTTCTTATGGAGGTCAATTAGAGGTTGGAAGTACAGTTAATGTAGTTGTATCATATGTGGAAAGTCCTGGTTATTTTTGGTGTCAACTAAGTAGAAATTGTCATGACCTTAAGGTACTAACGGCTGAAATTCAGCAGTATTGTAAGAATTCATCTCAACCACACACCTGGTCAAATCCTGTATGTTTAGCCCAGTACTCAGAGGACGAAAAATGGTACAGGGCTCTAATTGTTGGTGAAGTTACTTCTACAGAACAAGTAGAAGTAATATATGTTGACTATGGCAACAGAGAGTTGGTCTCTAGAACAAATCTCCGTTCAACTAATGAAAACTTTCTTAACCTAAAGGCTCAGGCTTTCAGGTGCAGCCTTTACAACTTAATCCAACCAAACGGTCAGGATCCTTTTGTTTGGGATGAAAAAGCAGTTCTGGCATTTCAGGAGTTTATCGATGCCTCATCATGTCAGTTGGAACTGAAGTGCACGATATTTGCCTTGGCTTCGATAAACAATAAAGAACTATTTAACATTGTGGACTTAATGACACCTTTTCAGAGTGCTTGTCAGTTTCTGATAGAAAGAGGTTTGGCTAGACCCTTATCACCTCAAAAACCTCTGGCATCCTCTGTTCAGCTTCATTCTTACTATTATTCGATGCACGATATCAAAATTGGGAGCGAGGAAGACGTTTATATTACGCATGTTGATGATCCATGGAAATTTTACTGCCAGCTTGCAAGATGTGCAGATGTCTTGGCACAGCTTACAGAAAACATTGGTCATCTAAGTAAAATAGTGACCAGTTTAAAAGCCTCGCAGAATTCTGGGAGTTTGTGTCTTGCAAGGTATACTGACAATCACTGGTACAGGGGAGTGGTTACAAAAACAAAACCTAATAAGGAAATCTTCTTTGTGGATTTTGGGAACACAGAGATGGTAAAGAAAGAAGATCTGCTTCCTATACCCAGTGGTGCTTATGACGTCTTGCTGTTGCCAATGCAGGCCATAAAATGTTCTTTATCCGATATATCTGCTGTTCCAAAAGATGCTACAATGTGGTTTAAGCAAGCTGTCCTAGAAAGGCGATTAAAGGCAATAGTGGTGGCAAAGGAATCTGATGGTAAACTGTTGATTGAGTTGTTTGATGGTAATACTCAAATTAATGCAAAATTGAAGGAAGGGTTAAGATTAACAAACAGTGCAGAGCAGTGTAGGCATATAGAAAATGAAACTTTAAGCCCTAGAAATACAGATGTGAAAGAGAAAGATGAGACTGCAGAATTTCTGTCTTTGTACGCAGGAAAGCTTCTTGAAAGAAAAAAATGGAGCCCTGAAGCCCAAGGTGGAGAGGGGAGTAGCAAAATGCACTTAAAACAGAAAGATATAAACCTCTTCCAGACTGCTACAAAGAGAGAACTGGCAGCTGAATTACTGGACTCTGAAAAGTATAGCAATACTAAAGATGCTTTGTTATTTAATAAAGTGGAGGATAGAGACTGCTTTTCCTCTGTCAAGAAAGATAAGCCATCATATGTTAAATCTGATAGTGAAAGCCAGCGTATGCCATTTAAACACATATCTGATCTACCTCAGAAGAACATAGTGCCAGCTCTCAAAGTGTTAGTGTATGTTTCTCATGTTAACGATCCTTCAGATTTTTATGTTCAACTGGTAAGCGATGAGTCTCAACTCAACAGTATTTCGGAAAGCTTAAACAGTAAGACAAGAGTGGAGAACCCTTGTGGACAACTCTTGCAAGCAGGAGACTTAATCAGTGCTGTTTATTCAGAAGACAGCTTATGGTATAGAGCTGTAGTAAAAGAGAAGACTTCTGATAATTTGATTAGTGTACATTATATTGATTATGGTAATACTTCAGTGATTAACGTTGATCAAGTATGTAGACTCCCTGAAGACTCATCGTCTATTCCAGCAATAAGTATTCACTGCTTACTAGGTGGACTTAAATGTAAAAAAACTAAAGATTGGGCAGAAAAAACAATGCTTTACTTCTCCCAGAGAACAAGTGACGTTCAGATAACGTGTGAGTTTGTAGAGAAAATTGAGGATCAGTGGGAAGTTATTCTCAGTGATGATCAAGGTGTAATAACAGTGGATTTAGTTAATGAAAATCTTGCAAGTAGGGGAAGCTCTCATTCAACAGAAGTACTTGACAAAATAGAAAACAATGCTGAAGCGGTGAATGTGTGTGAGCCTTTGCCTCCTAATGAACGAAACGAAATTTCCAACGTAAGTGATTCTACATCATTTCTCTGGAAGATACCGGAGGCAGGTCAAACTGTAAAAATTTATGTTACAGTAGTGAAAGGTCCAGAATATTTTTGGAGTCAGGGTGCTAATACAGAAAACATAAAATACATAGAGGAAAAAATAAAGGAAGCTGAAAATCTTGGACTAAGCTCCACGAATGATTGCAGATCTCTTATTAAAACTGGTGATATTTGTATAGCAAAATACAGTGAAGATGGGAAGTTCTACAGAGTGAAAGTCAGCGACATGAAAGGTGACAATTTAGTTGTTAGATATGTGGATTATGGAACTGAGGAAACTGTTAGCATGGAGATGGTCAGGCAAATTCCAAGTGAATTGCTCAGAATACCTAATCAAGCATTTCCTTGCTGTCTGTCAGGATTTAATTCCTCAGAGGGCTCATGGCTTAGCGAAGCAGAAGATAAGTTCTACGATATGACTGTAGAACTCTTATTAGAAGCTAAAGTAATGGAAACTCGGGAAGATGAAGGTTCTGAAGTTCCTCTGTCTGTTGTCAAGCTGGAAACTTGTGGGAAGAGTATTAATGAAGAGATGAAATGTTTTTGGAAGGTCAATACAGGAACTGGTTTCCCATCTTTCTCAAACCTGGAGAACCCGTTAAAGGAGAACATGGGCTCAAGTAATAACTCGGATCTTTGTCTTGAAAAAGAAACTGTTGCTACTTCTAGAGTACTTCAGGAAGAAGATAAAAGTGCTGTGCAGGGTGCATTACTTTGTTCTGAATGTCTCTTGGATGCAACTTCTGTGCGTTCAAATAACGTAGAAGCAAACGTTTCAGTGGAAGCTGTTGAAGAACATATGTCTGTGAAAGCTGACGATGAGTGTAAAACAGCTGAACATCAAAACAACTTTGATAAAGACACCCCTCTATCTGAAAAAGAGAGTGATAATGAAGTATCACTAGAACCAACGCAATGCTGTTCTTTGTGTGTTTTGGGGAGTGACATGAAAGCTGCAGAACAAGAGTTACCTGAAGTACCACTTGTAGAAGATGATGAACTGAAAGCAGATCTGATTGGCATTGCTTCAGCAGTGAATCTTCTCCTGGAAAATAAACAAGAAGAATTGCTAGGATGGCCATTGTTCCAGGTACAGCCTTCTTTGGGGGATGAAACGGCGTCGTTACTGGAATTGGAACAATTACAAATGCACTCTTCGTATGATGATCTAAAAGAGTTCATATTGGAGCTAGAGTCGCTTTCAGTGCAGTGCTCCGTTGGTGAAAAAACAAAGGAGGCTTTAGAGCTAGAATCACTTGAAACGCAGACAACTTCAGGCAGCGAAGCACAAGAGAAAATGTTGGAACTGGTATCACTTGAAGTGCCACTCTTGAATGATGAGACAGGGGAGGTGATAGCTATGAAATCTTTTGAAATATCACTACCACTTTCTGAGAGAGAGAACTTGATGTCTTCAGTTAGTGATGGAGAGAAGACCTTGGAGTTATTTCCATCTGATGTACAACTTTCTTTGGGAGATAAGAAACAGGCTCTGGAATTGGATTTGCCTGGGGTTCATGAAGCAGAAGCTATGCAAAGTGATTGGATGGAAGTAGATCCTACCCTGATGTTGTCTTCATTTGGTGGTGGAGCTGAGAAACAAATGGAACTAGAGACCCATGACATACAGTCAGTGCTAGGTGCTGAAATTAAACAGCTTCTAGAGTTGGTGCTGCCTGATGTGCAGCCTCCTCAGGAGGACAGAGATGAGGACTTGTTAGGGCTGGAACACACAGCGTTGCAAACTTCGGCAAATAGCAGAAGTCTCTTTTCGTGCCTTAAGACAGACTTGGCGAATCAGAGGCCTGTTTGCACTGTAAAATTATGTGACTGCAACATTGAGAAATGTGAAGAATGGCAAAAAAAGCAAGATGACCATTCTGTGGAAGAATGGATGAAACAAGACTTGGTTGACTCATTTAAAGAATGTGGAAGTCAACTTCTAAATGAGCAGTCTTTAGACTGTAAGCCTGTGGGTGAAGAAATAGAAAAAAAGCAAAATGAAAACTTGGCTGACTGCTGTGCAGGTGAAATATCTGATTTTAGGGAGCTAACTATCCAAAATGTAGTGTGCATTCAAACACGCAAAGATTTTTTTCGGTAGGGGGGGAAAACAAATTCATATTCCCTAATGCTCTATTAGGGCTTTAGTTTAGTCTTAACCTCAGCCTCCCTTGAAGGGTTGTGGACACCAGAACGTGTAGGTAATGAGACAGTTTAACAGGAGATGATTTTACTTTGAGAAGTGAACAGTTTTATAAATGGAAAACT